GCCGTCTTTGAATCTCATCCCACAGGTGCTCAACGGGATTTAAATCGGGACTGAGGGCAGGCCACTGCATGGTTCTGATGCCATTCTGCTGGAGGAAGTCTCTTGTTGCTCTCGCAGTGTGGGCATGGGCGTTATCATGCTGAAACGCGTGGTTGAGGCGACGTGCCAAATGAGGTATGGCGTATGGTCTCAAGACTTGATCAAAATACCGAGCTGCTGTGACATCATTGCCTCTCCCTGGACCGATGTTCTGGAAGACCACAGGGCCGACGCTCTGTGCAAGACCAATTCCACCCCACACCATGATGCTCGGACCACCCCACGAGTCTCTCTCAACACCACAAGCATCCGAATAACGTTCCCCACGGCCTCTGCCATCTGCTGTTGAAATACAGTAACGGGTCTCGTCTGAGAAGAGGACTCTTCTCCACTGCTGGTGGCGCCAATGCTGAAGTTGTGTTGCCCACTGCAGACGGTCCCGGCGATGACGTGGTGTCAAAATGGGTCCTCGGTGTGGCCTGTGACAGTGGAGGTGTCTGCTCGTCAATCGTCGACGCACGGTGTCCGCACTAATGTGTCGCTGGTGTGTCCCCATAGTCTGTCGAGCAGTTTCCGCAGCAGTAACAAAGCGATCTTGAAGATGCTGTCGCATAATCTGACGATTCTGACGTCGGGTGGTGACCCTTGGTCTTCCACTACGTGGTCGGTCATCTCTAGTGTTGGTGGTCTGGTACCGTTGCTGGAGCCGGTTTATGAGCCTTACGTGGATTTGAAATGCATTGGCTACTTTCCGGGCGGTTTGTCCAGCTTGCAATCGTCCAAGGGCTTGGTGTCGCTGATTTCTTGTCAATCTTGGCGTGTGGTAGCAATTCAATAACGAATGAATGTTATCCGATCAGGGTGGATTTTTAAAGGAAAAGAAACGGGGGATTTCAATTTGCACGGAACTCACGTGCATCGGGTTCCCATGGCCGTTGCCATGATGCGTTTGGGCCATCGCTTTTATTGTCATCTGCTTTGTTTTTTTAAACATACAATTTCATTTTTCCGGACAAGGTTATGTTAAATTTGAGAAAATTACCCAGATATTTAAATGACATCTTTTGATGCAACGTTACTTGGGGTGACGTTTCTTTTGCGGTTCAGTTTATATACCTATTCTTCTGCCTTCACTTTGAAGTCGAATGCAATTCAAAATACATTATGCAAGGATTTCAATTCTGTTGGGAATGTCCTGGTCTGTGACCTCATCCAATCTCATTTCAGGCAAAGACAAATGACTGAAAATGACCTCTGAAAATTAGGAACATCGTTAATCTTACCATTTGTGACACATTACTGAATCACCATTGACGGTGTTATTTAGTGTACGTTTTGAAATCAAAATATTGGATAATTACTCGAAGAATTGAATTTCAAAAATAGCATATCAGTGATCTGGTTATATTGTTCAGAAAATGAAACGCAAAGCAGATTTGTTTAAGGTGGGAAAATACACTTATACGAGGAACTGCACAATGTTGTGGAGAGAACACTTGGCACGTGATTGTAGTCATCTCAGTTATCGGTACACAGGAAAAGCCCAAGGTGAAGGTCAGCTACCATCATCAACCCGCAGGTGCACTTTCGGGTTCAAATCCGTGGATCTGGAGGGCTAGGGAAGAACATCAACGTTGTTGTTGTGTTGACAGGCTCTTGTGTTCCGTGTAATATGCGGCCGAGCGTTGTCCTGTTGGAATATACCGTTGCCGTTGGCTGCAATTGGGAGGACGTGTGGTAGGAGAATTTTGTTGATGCATCGTTGAGCCGTAAGATTGCCCTGGATATGGACCAAACCTGCCATGCTATGAAGAGAGATACCCGCCCATATCATAACGCTACCCCCACCAAACCTGTCCACGTCCTAAACGCAGTTTCAGGGGTAACGTTCTCCCCGACGTCTGTGGACTCGTGCTGTTCCATCCCCTCGACGGAGGAGAAATCTTTATTCGTCGCTGAACCAGACATCTCTCCATCGCAGTTGAGGCCATACCCTTTGTTGACGACACCAATGCAGTCGTTTTTGACGATGTTGTCGTCTTAATATGACGCGTCGAACATGACGTCTTGCTCGTGGACCTCCTGCTCTTAAACGGTTTCGTACGGTCTGGTTGGTGATTCTGCGCACTCTGGGTATTTGGGATGCGGTTGAGGTGGCTGTGGTCGTCCTTTCACGTAGGTGGCGCGGTCGGATGTAGCGATCTTGGCCGGGGATGGTTACTCTTGGTAGACCCGACCTTGGCCGATCACGTGTTGACCCATGCTGTTGAAACCGATCCAATTGCCTTGTGATGGTGCTGGGCGCAACATGAAAACCCTGGCTACAGCTGATGGGGATTCCTCTGCCTGCAAGCGGCCTGTGACGTTGTTTCTTTGCACGTCTGTTAATCTTGGCATTTTGTTGAACTGTCACTGTTCTATTGACGCAGATGCCAGGCAATCAAAAACCCTGCACTTCAATACCGTTCATAGTGCTGCTGCACGTGCAGTACGAGCAGCTCCGTGGCCCTTTTGTTTATGGACTTGGTGCGTTTTTCCGAATCGTACGTGTTTCCCGACTAATGGTTTGCATGTCCTTGTTGTGATCATTTTGATGCACCTCTTGGTCGGCTATTTTTGCTTTTATGGCCAAAAATATCCGCATTGCAGTTTTTTTAAGAGTATAATTAATTCACCAATGATCATTATGAAACTTCGCCAATAACCATACAATCGTTTAGGAAAATGCGCAAACACGTAACGAGATATAATTGGACAATTTTAATACTTGAACTTGAAAGCTCAATAAGTGTGGAGGAGGCTATATTGAATACAAGGAAACGATAGGCTAACCTTCGCAGGTGGAAGAAGGAAATATTATTGTATTTACAGTACAACTATAAGTAATTTTAAGATTAAGTGAAAGAGAAATATACGACAATATCACCTTGATTAAATTATTGTTAAAAAACATTTTCTTTCATATTTACTTTTTCATAAATGCGACTTTGGAATTGTATTTACACCTTGGTGTACATGTATATGTGAAGACATACGTGATGGTTTATTCCAAGTACAGTTGCCATTTCATCCCATTCTACAAAAGGAAAAGTTTGAAATAGATAATGATCAAAGATAAATGAAACTTGTGAAAATATTTGTCATAAAAAGGAAAAGCAGAAAATGAAAAGCACATGTCACCATAGCAAAATTAGAAAACTGCGCTAAATTCTAACTGTGTTTGCCAAGCGTTCTCATTTACTCGTTGGTGGCTGTGGAAATCTTCCCAATTGGGATGTACTAGAGCTACGTTCCTGTTCAGATCAGTTCTGTAAAATAGAATAGTATTATATACTTCGGTGTGGAAGAGTTTCTGAAATTGAGAAAAGTGACATTTTTATTGCGGTGAACATAACCCTACAAGTTACCTCCCCTCAATTTGTCTCCCTTTATTGTAGGTGTCTACTCCGTACACAAACTGTTGACGTCCTGTTTACGTTAGTTCCACATTGGTCATTATGGAGTAAATATGGCTTCTTCTCGTTTGTTATTATCTCGAAAATGTTTCGTTATAAACTGTAAATTTCCGATTTAACTCGTCAATCGTGACTTCGTTTCGCAAAGCGCCATATTTGTCACTTGCCCAGGCTGTATTCTTTCGCTTCCAAAAGCTGTCTCGTAGTTTTCAAGAATATAGTTTTGTTAAAGTTGATTTTGTGTATAATCACATCTAAATGTATGATAAATAATCTTCCTCACCCTTAATACTTTTTTAATACTTTTGTTTATATTTTTTAAAGATTTTGCAATCACGAAACTACTTTTTAAGTCGCAAATACAAGGGTATGTGAATCGTCCCTGTGTGTTAGTTTAGAAGAATTTATGTTTCAAGGTTTTACATTTGAAATGATATAATTTAATTTTCCGAAAAACAAGAACACAAAAAAGCATATGATAAATAGGATATTCCATGTGTCGAGTGCAATATCATGTCTCTCTCACCTCGTGACGGGGATAAAGGACGCCACTCGTGAAAATATCTCCTTTCTCACCCTCACTCGATGAGCACATGAACACAAGACACACGGACAATACTATTTTCAGCAAACTAATCATAGCGCCATTATCAGTTTCAATGAAAGGAAACACAATTCGTGAAAATGTCTTCACCGATTGACGATCGAGTTAAATGAGAAATGTACAACTTATATCAATTTTTTTTAAAGAGAATAACAAACGGCAAGAAGCGACATTAACTCCAATACTGGCTATCTATCATTATTTTGCCTAGTCAATGTGGAACTAATGTGAAAAGGAAGTCAATAGTTTGTGTACAGGCCAGACATTTACGATAAAGGGAGACAATTTGAGGGGAGGTAACTCTTGTATGATATTAGTTCCGGCCAAGTGTTATGTTCACTGCAGTTACATATCAAGTGTTATGTTCACTGAAATGAAAATATCACTTTTTTTCAACTTCGGAAAACTCCGTCTTTAACACTGAAGTATATAATAAATCCTTCCTTTCACATCAAAACGACCGCCTCCGTGGTCTAATGGCAGAGCGCCCGGAGAGGGGAAGGTCCGGGGTTCGATCCCCGGCCGTGTCATACCACAAGACGAGAAAATGATTGTTCAGAGTCTGTGTACTGTGTCCGATCGGGGTATTTATTTATTAAAGTGAAACATGGTATCTCAGTGGGCTGGCCCTATAAATCGGCACCAGTCCGGAAGAGTGCAAGCAGCCACGAACACACACGCACGCACGCGCGCATTGCTATATAAGACCAGTTATCTTGGACGCGACGTTAAACCCCATTCCACATCACCTCACCTTCTTATCAAAACTGTATCGATCATTAATCATGTACTCTAGTATATAGATTCATATTCCGTTTCCATTTCCACAATCCTAAATCATCAAGATTTTCGTTTCAGCGTAATGCAACTTTTAGTATTTCCCGGGAACTCTTCAAGGAGAAGATTGGAAATCGTGAGGTAAGGTGATGCATCCAAATAGAAGCTACATTTTCTCACGTATGTTGCTCTTTCATGAAGTGAATTCATATAAAATAATCAGATCATTTGGCACACGATGCATTTAGACGCGGAACGTGCGTATTGTACATTTGATGTTAAATGGGCGCCTGTAGTTACTCGCTTCATGGCTTCGCCGGTTACTGCGTCACCTGTTTTCGCGTGGGTAACGAATATTGGCAGCCTGGCCTTCGGCAATATGATCTAGGCGACGAATAATACTAGTTATACAACAACAACATATTTAGAAATATGAAAACGACACTTGCGTACTTCAAACATCAATACATATTTTTGTGTGTTTGGTATGTTCGAGAACTAGTGGTTGAACAAAAAGCGTTTCATTGTCACCAGTAAGCCAAACTCGACGTATAATCCTGTTCGTTGGGGCCACGCCCTGTCTCTGTGTGGCTGCCCCAGATTCATCCCATGTAATATTCGCGTTTGCTGGTGAAGAATATTCAGACGTTTTGCTGTGCCACAGATCTGGGGTATCCACAAACATGTCCGAAGACAGCATTTGCACAATTATACTTTCATGTTCGTAGATAGCATTATATTTTTCATATTGGGGGGGGGGGGGGGGGGATTAGTCCCTTCCACTATTACTGATCAACTGAGGTATGTAATTGATCAGTTTCAATGTGCTGTGCATAGCATTAAATAAAGTACATAGATATGCTGTACACCTACATGAGTACAGATTAACCTGTAACATCTGCAAGCCCAAATAATGATACATGTACCATTAGAATACCCCCAGGCCATAAACAGGTGATAAAAGAAATTCTGCTGTGGGATACTGTTACATTGGACATACAGCCTTAGGAAAGTGCCAACACTTGGCAATGGAAATTGTAGCCAGAGTCTAGTAAAAGCTGTTTGGACGAGTAAACCTAGCTAATGAAGTCTGTGTAATAACGATAACACTAAAATCTACTGAAAATGATCCTAAGAGCAATATGCAGGCAATTTTGGTTTGTTTGTTGTTTAACTTCACACTCAGCATTTTCCAGCTATATGAGCATGATGAGGGTGGCCTGTAAATAATCAAGTCTTGACCAGCCAATCCTAGTAATTGAGCATCGATAGCCTTCTATGTTTTAGGCACAGACTGAAATTGATCCTCAAAAAGCCTCATGGTCAAGAAGTCACCATGACTGTACACAGTTACATTTTCATATGTATTACATTTTGTATGTCACCTGACAGCAAATCAGCCCAATGGCAAACACTTCCTAAACCATCAATTTCAGTTTGACAAAGTCCCAACCCTTTCAACAGAAATCGCTTTTCATTTGATCACTTGCTTTCTGAACATGACATTAGCAAGCTTCTCACAACCAAATCTCTCAGCCTCAGACTAAAAAATGCCCCGCTGTGATCGATGTAATGTTATAATCAGTCTACCACCTACCCTCAGTCTGAAAATGTCCCGTATGTGACTTTGAAAATATATTTTCCAAGATTGACTTTTGGAAATGTTCCTTCACTCTTTACAGTTGATGTGATATATTAATATTTTGATGAAGTAGAATCTGAATGTTGTGTGGAGGTGGAGTTTTCATTGATGAAAGTTTTAGGCCAGTTTTTCCATTTATACCAGAATATGATAATGAACAACTTAAGCATTGTTTAAGGTGAATCTAATTATAAGATATGTTGATGAGGCAGTCACTCTGAAAAACAGTAACAATGATAACTCTTAAGACATACTGGATTGTCTGTTTAAATACATTTGACAAAATATTAGGTCTTTCAAAACTGGTATCACAAACTGTTATAAGAACTTACAACATAAAGATTTAAGAAAATATCTTGTATCCTTTTTTATTTTATGCATTTCCCACAAAAGAACTACATTGGTATGTCCTCCCCTTTAACTGAATCAGTTGAACTTCTGTACCATGGTACACACCAGTGTTAGAAGTCCTTGCCAAACTGCCCAATAGTTAAGGTATTTGGACTAGTAGAAATTTGTTATTTTTAAGGGTTTTGCTATATGTTATCATAATAAGGACTAGTGGACTAAAATGTTAGTTTCTACCCTTGAAATACTCAAAGTAAATACCCAGTGTATCTGAGGTATTTCCAGTTGCCTAATACTGGGGTTGGCATCTCTGTAATAAACATGCCCCCACCTGCCCACAAGCTTTAGTGATCCTTGAGGATCCTTGCTCCCTGGACACAACATGTATATGATGTATGCATTTCCTTACTTTCAGATATGTTGACCATGTCTAGGAAAGGGCTACTGATTCTGGTGTTCCTGTCCTCTGTTGTGGCACTGTGTGTTGCTAGGCAGCCCCACGATGCTGATATCGATGATAATGAATTTGCAGAGTTTGAAGAATTTGAAGATGAAGGTACCATTGTATTTCTGACTTCCCACCTCCACCTCCTGTAAATATAACTTACGTCATTAAAGCTCAGTTCACACATTCTATAGTTTGTCCGTACTAGTGTCTTGTATGACATATTAAAACGTCTTGACTGTGATTTTGCTAGAGATAAGATGGATTGGGATATTTTAATTGTTTGTCAACTTTTGATTGGACTTCAATGTTATTACCATATTTGAAGATAGCTTTAGAATATTTTGGATAATCTATACACAGTGTCCGAAATTACTGCCTGTTTTCTGTTGGGCTGCATGAATTTACAGCCTGACTAACTAGCAGATAATATTTTGATTACTTACGTATTCAGTTTTACCAGAACTCATTGTAGATTCTCAAGTGATTGTTTGCATTATTTCAACTGAATCAAAACCCTATTTATATCTTATGTTTTGTTTTTTTAATATTTATAATATCTGAATGTGGACAGTTAACTTTGAAGATGGGCAGGCAACACTTATGGGTCACCTGCCCGACTGTCTTGTTGGGGTTTAATATTATTTCAAATACTGTCTACACATGTTCTATAGAAGAAGAGGCTGTAATAGAGGAAGAACCTATAGTAGAAAAGAAAGTGCAACCACGGGACATCGCTGGGGAGGAAGTTGAAGAAGAGGATGATGAAGTTGTTGTAGAGGTGCGTATCAATATTTATGTGTGCATGGTAAGGGCCATATGGGCTAGAAATGTTTGATAGGCAATACTTAGAAGTTGACGGATGACAAAGTAGACACAATTAATAGATAACAACTTCTTTAATTACTGTAATTTGTTATCCATAAATTGTGTCTACTTTGTCACATAGAGACGTATTGGTAAGTGTAGAGACAGTAGTATGCTTTGTACATGGTAAGGACCAGTTTTATAGACATGTGCCACATAGGGAAGGGTAAGTGTACTAGTCAGGCTCGGTCGGAAACGATTGAGACCTTTGGTTTTCACCCACGTTCCCAAAATTGTTTTGAAGATTTTATAGCTATTAAATATATGATTATTTATTATTACATACACGTCTTGTGTGTAAAAACTATGTTTATTGAGGGTATAAGATTAAATGTTTCATCATATTATTTAACAGTTGTAGTTAGCTCCAGTGATCTGCTCAAAGAGTATGGTGATCTACTGGCGCTTACGTCATCAATATATTTGGTGTATTGCTTGCAGTTAGTTCATGTATGTAATGAAATTGTAACTGTAAGTAAGAATTTCAGTTGACTTTTATTATTTGTTATAGTTTTCTTTTACATTCTTTTTAACAATATCTCTTTGAAACTGACAGTTGGGATGGGACAGAAAATATCTAGACGACCACGTCCCCCACCCACAACCCCTTAAAATAAGTATAGAGATAGTAATGTGGTTTGTACATGGTAAAGGCCAGCTGACTTTGGTATGTCCATAAAGTCCTTTTGCTGTTGCAGACAGAAGATGATGAGTTTGAACATCTTCAGGATGAAGAAGAGTTTGAAGGTTTTGACAAGGAGAGAGGTTCTACCAAGGGGAAGTCCCAGGACAAGCTACCTGATCTGGAGATGGCCAAGGTGAGATACATGCATTTAGCTGTACATATGCAGTAATGATCTGGCTGAGATGGTAACAATTAGCAATACAAAGCTCCTAGGTTTCCAGGGTAGAATAAGTCCCCAGCAACCTATGCTGGTTGTGTGGGAGGTGGCTTAGTGGGTTGGATGGCCAGGTGTGGTGACTTGGTTGAGTGTTATACAATCAATCACTTCTTATCATATTAATCACTAGGTTGTCTGATCCAGTTGGTTGGTTTGTTGTTTAGCGCCGCACTAAGCAATATTTCAGCTATATGACGGCGGTCTGTAAATAATCAATTCGCGACCAGACAATCCAGTGATTGATATCATGAGCATCGATCCACGCAGTTGGGATCAATGACATGCATCAACCAAGTCAGCAGGCCTGAACACCCAATCCTGTTAGTCGCCTCTTACGACAAGCGTAGTTGCCTTTCACGGTAAGCATGTGTTGCTGAAGACCTATTCTACCCCGGATCTTCACGGGTTCGTCTGATCCAGAGTTGATAGATTCAGTTACCGGTAGCTATACTGGGGGCAGTTGTCACGAGCTAGGGGGATAGATTCAGTTAGCAATACCAAGGGTAGTTGTCATGAGCTAGGGGGATAGATTCAGTTAGCTATATCGAGGGCAGTTGTCACGAGGTAGGGGGATAGATCCAGTTAGCTATACCGAGGGCAGTTGTCACGAGCTAGGGGGATAGATAAGGTTAGCTATACCATGTATACCGAGGGCAGTTGTCACGAGCTAGGGGATAGATTCAGTTGCCGGTAGCTATACCGAGGGCAGTTGTCACGAGCTAGGGGGATAGATTCAGTTAGCAAGGTGAACGTTGCACCATGAGCATTTTGAGCATTGATTGAAACATTTCACTTGCCAGGTGCCTCTTCATCTCCGCACCAACTGGGACAGCTTCTACCTGGAGATGCTGATGATAGCAGGCCTCGGCGTGTACTTCCTTAATTTCCTGGCAGGCAAGACCAAGAATGGAAAACTGGCTCAGTGTTGGCTGGGGTCACACAGAGAGATATTGGAGTCCAACTTTGCCATCGTAGGTAAGTGTCGTAGACCATGTCGATGTCGCACAGAGAGATATTGGAGTCCAACTTTGCCATCGTGGGTAAGTGTCGTAGACCATGTCGATGTTGCACAGAGAGATATTGGAGTCCAACTTAGCCATCATGGGTAAGTGTCGTAGACCAAGTCGGTGTTGGCTGGGGTCACTCAGAGAGGTATTGGAGTCCAACTTTGCCATCATGGGTAAGTGTCGTAGACCAAGTCGGTGTTGGACAAGGGAAGTAGTGTTGGTTATTATCCGATCCTGTGGTTCCAGGAGATGATGGCTCGGCCAAAGAAGTGACATCTGGCATCCTGATGAAGGACTCTGAGAATGTGTATGCGCTGTGGTGCAGCGGCCGGACCTGTGTGGAGGGGATGCTGGTGGAGCTGAAGCTGCTGAAGCGCCAGGACCTCATCAACTGCCTCCTGCGTCTCTTCAAGCCTGCATCGGACCAGGTGGTAAGTCTCCAGGTGCCAGGAGTTACAACTAACATTCAAGTTCAACATTTGCACAGCAAAATGTGGTCTTGTGGTTTGTTCAACTTTGTGAGATTAAGGATTGATACAGTCAAGTCCTTTCAAATTTTCACTTTTCTTTGGGCTAATGTCTGTATCTAACCCTAGTCATAGCACTTGCGTGTGTATACAGTTCTGAAAATTTTATGTGGAATTCCATGGATTTTGTTTTGTCAAGGTTCATTTTCTTATTCATGTCATTACAGTATATGCTTTAATCATATAATATCCCCTGACCCCCGGCTATTTTTCAATGTGTTTTTTTAGAAAACCCATTCCCGTCCCTGTATATCATCATAGTATATACCACAGTATGACCCTCAAACTCAAGCCAGCTGTATGCACCAGAGCTGTCATTGGGAGAGCAATATTTATAGAATACCATGAAGCCATGCGATCATTGATCAGGGACTTGAAGCATTTAGTCTTGAGGCGAAGATTAACCATCTGGGATCTCAAGTACAAAGTGTCGTCCCTGGGACGTGTATCTACCTTTTATTATTTCTCTTTTCCTGAAGATATGTTGCACTGTCTGAAAGCTACTTTCTCTTCGAAGAGCAGGTGTACCGCGTAGGCTTATATCTAACTGCTGTGTGCTAGAAATGGAGGTCTGTGGAGACTGTCTCTGTAGCATGTTGACTGGTGTTGTTAGTGAGTGGTTGTTGTGTTGTAGGTTGTCACTGTGGACATGGAAAAGGCCATCATGGACAAGTTTGTGTTCTGCATTGCACACAAGAAAGTTGCAACCAAACTACACAAGGATATGCAGGACTTGGTGAGTTGTTTACTCTGCACATAGTCAAAACCTCTCGGGGATATGAAATATACAAACATGATGAGTTCTGAGGATTTATCGACGACACAAACATGATGGATCTCAGTAATTCAGCAACTACACAAACATGATGGATCTCAGGGATTTATCGACTACACAAACATGATGAATCTCAGGGATTTATCAACTACACAAACATGATGGATGTCAGGCATTTATCAAGAACACGAACATGACGGATCTCTGGGATTTATCAATTCACAAACATGATGAGTTCTGAGGATTTATCGACTACACAAACATGATGGATCTCAGGGATTTATCGACTACACAAACATGATGGATCTCAGGGATTTATCGACCACACAAACATGACGGATCTCTGGGATTTATCAATTCACAAACATGATGAGTTCTGAGGATTTATCGACTACACAAACATGATGGATCTCAGGGATTTATCGACTACACAAACATGATGGATCTCAGGGATTTATCAACTACACAAACATGATGGATCTCTGTGATTTATCAACTACACAAACATGATGGATCTCTGGGATTTATCAACTACACAAACATGATGGATCTCAGGGATTTATCAACTACACAAACATGATGGATCTCTGTGATTTATCAACTACACAAACATGATGGATCTCAGGGATTTATCAACTACACAAACATGATGGATCTCAGGGATTTATCAACTACACAAACATGATGGATCTCGGGGATTTATCAACTACACAAACATGATGGATCTCTGTGATTTATCAACTACACGAACATGACGGATCTCTGGGATTTATCAATTCACAAACATGATGGATTTATCAACTCAAAAACAAGGTAGATCTGAATGATTTATCAACCACACAAACTCGATGGATCTCTGTGATTTATCAACCAAAGATGGATCTCAGTGTTTTATCTATTCACAAACATGATGGATCTCAGGCATTTATCGACCACACAAACATGGTGATTCACTGTTATCAGGTAATCATGAGTTACGGTGAGTGAGAAATAGAGCAAGTATGTTGAGGTGTGTATGTAACCATGGTAACCTGTGTGTTGACAGAGTCAGTTCACGGAGAGGAAGAATGTGGACCGCTACGACCTACCTGCATCTTACCAAGTGCTGTCAGAAGTTGGGGAAGCCACATCCGCCATCCTCGACAAGAAGGCAAGTAGCTGTAGCTGTAGACTTCTGTTGATGTTCAAAGTGTTCATTCATGATGACTGTCTTATTCTTGAGACATTGTGTATGACATGGCATTAGAAACACAATACTGATTTCAACACGTCTTATTGTGAAAAATCAGATGGTTTGGGCACAAGTGACACTTTTCGAGACCCAAGACTACTAACTGAGGACAAGTAAGACTCCATTGATGGTACTGTTCATGGTACCGGTGAAGATCTGGGGTGGAATAGGTCTTCAGCAACCCATGCTCTTCTTGAGAGGTGACTATGCTTGTTGCAAGAGGCGACTAATGGGATCAGGTGGTCAGACTCGCTGACTTGGTTGATGCCTGTCATCCTATCCAAATTGCATAGATCGATGCTCATGATGTCAGTCACTTGATTGTTTGGTCCATGCTCGATTATTTACAGACTGCCCTCATATGTCTGGAATATTGCTGAGTGCAAACACACAAACAAAACTCCTCAAGGATCAGAAGCATTTGACGGTATCATTCTTATCAAGTCTAAATGCTTCAATTTTTCTTCAAATTTGAACTGAATAGAACTGACAGGAAATGTTGGCATGTTTAACATTTTAATCTTGTTCAAGTACGACCAGCTTCAGACTCTGATGACCAGTGTATTAATGTTTACACTAGACGAGTCTAAAGAAAATATAGTTCTATGTTGATGAACTGCTGCTAAAGACTAGTGTATGACACATTTGCTGCTGTTTCAGGTGTGTCAGGTGCTGACGAAGTTCGAGGGTCTGGTGGATTTCATGCATTTCTCTGATCAGTACTCGGGACCTAAAAACCAGGAGTAAGTTCAAATTATTATTCCACCAGTAGTAAGTCTTTATGCCAGCATATTGCTGCATTTGTTTGGCGCAACTTTTCATAAATTGGCCTTGAGTATTGAAACAGATTTATCACGATGTGTGTTTTTGAATTTCTTTAACAATACTTGAAATTGCACATGGTGGACTGTTGGTACTTGATCCTGTGTACAGCGCTCAGGTCACAAACCTGTGAGTAGCTGGATGGATGCATGGTGATTGGCAGGTGACTCCTGTGTTTTTCTGGGGCATCTGGAGTGGTGGGGTAGCCTTGCGATAAAAGCGTTTGTTCGTAAGCCGAAGGCCTGTGTTTGATTCCCCACATGAGTGCAATTTATGAAGCCCATTTCTGGTGTCCCCCACCATGATATTGCTGGAATTAGAGAATACTCACTCACTCTTGGGCTCTGTACACCCAGCAGTTAATGGGTACCTGGTAGTTTGGATTCTATACTCCCCAGGGAGATGAGAACAAAAATTCAGTGCACACTGATCCATCAATTCCAAGTAATAGTAATGTTCTGCCATAGAATCTGGTGCATTAGATAATTATTATTATTTTTATCATTATTATTATTATATATTTGCATTTTTATTTCCAGTGAGTCACAGCCTACCAAAATGCCCACAACTAAATCGGTGCTAATCTTTAGTTTTAATGGTAAGTGTCTTCACCAAGTTCTCTCACCCAAGGAGAAATATTGTGCAAAGAATCGTGTTAAATGTGGCAAATATGAAAGCAAAATGACTCAACTTTTCAGTTTGTAAACATTAACGCAACCGATGCAACGTGATTGAAGCGATATTTCCAAGGAGACATCATTGATCTCACCCAAACGATGTCTCGTGTTAAAGTCGGTTTTGAATGATAAATCATTTTATGAACCCCTGGCAAAAATGAAATCAGAATACCAAATATTGATGGTCAAGATCATTTATAATAAAGCATCATGTTGCTTGTGCTGATAACACATCCTCTATCATGTCTATGTAAGGAATTTTGATTAAATTTGGGGGATGATTTCTCCATTTGATAAGATATTTGCTGACCTCAGCAAAATGTCAAGGTCACCTACAGGCAGAACGTGACCTCCAGAGACCACAGTGTACAATATGTAACAAACCTTTGTCAGACAGGAATTTAGTCCATCATATTCATGAGAAAATGAATAATATTTCAGTGATGATAAGTAATGAATACCTTTATCAAAGTCATATCAGCTGTCAAGGTCATTTATTTGTCTTCTTTGTGTCAAATGTCAAGGTTAAAATTGATTTAGGATGTGTTTCATCGGTGTGTTCAACTGATGTGTTCAACTGATGTGTTCCAATGGCTTACGTTGTGTGTTTTGGTTGGTTTCTGAGACTCGAAGACAAAATTGTTTGTTACATTCAGGAAACATGGGGAAATGGCTATGTGTTTTCTGTGTCAGCCTAGTATGTAAAAGTTAACCCTTATTTTGGCAGTTCCTGGACGAGGAAAGACAAAGACTTCTGACATGGAGGTGATCCGACCCTTGCTGCAGCTTGTGTTTTATTGTATGGACAAGATTGGTCGTCTGCAGCTGAGTCGGGAAGTAAGTAACTGCCTTTCCTCAGCTTTATCAAAGTTTGCCTCCCTGGTGTAGAGGATAGACATCTGTCCGGAGAGCGGAAGGTCGGTGTTTTTTCGATCACTAAGTGTGGCATACCAAAAGACATGGTCCTTTTGTTACCTGGTCTGGAGCTTGGCATTGATAAGATATAACGTACTGTGTCTGAGTGGGGTATCCATCTTCATCTGGTGCATGGTATTTCAGTGGGCTAGCAATAAAAAGGCATTAGTCCAGACTAGTTCATACAGGCACTCACCCGCACATACACATCGGTCTATAGGTGCAATAGTATTTCGCCTCACCTGAACAGGATCCAGGTTCCTCCTTATATGATGTTTTGTTATTGTGCAGGCTAAGAACAAATCTGAAAAGAATCGACAGAAGGCCGAAGAAGTGTTTCTGAAGCAGGCCCACGCCCAGAGACAAGAAGCAGCTCAAGCTCGCCGGGAGGAGAAGAAACGAGCGGAGAAGGAGCGACTTCTGTCAGAAGAAGATCCTGACAAGGCCCGCAAGTTGGAGGTGAGCTGAACTGTTAGACGTGAATTTATTCATCTTTGCACCTTGAATTAATATTATTGATTAAAGTAGGATTCATATGTGCAATAAGGTCCAGCTATGTTTGATCTTTAAGCTCCATGTAGAAGACAGACAGTAAAAATGATTTCTTTTTGCAACAAACCCAGCAATTCCACACACACACCCGATATGATTGTCAGTCCTTCAGCTTTTAGTGAGAAAATATAATCTCAAGTCCTCTGCTCTTATTTTTTATTGAATGTGTAGCTGCTTCAATGTGTGTTCCTGTGTTGAATGTGTTCCTGTGTTGAATGTGTTCCTGTGTTGAATGTGTTCTGGTGTTGAATGTGTTCCTGTGTTCAGTGTGTTGCTGTGGTGAATGTGTCTTTTCATTGAATATCTGTTCCTGTGTTGAATGTCTGTTCCTGTGTTGAATGTCTGTTCCTGTATTGAATGTGTGTTCCTATGTTGAATGTGTGTTCTTGGATTGAATGTCTGTTCCTGTGGTGAATGTGTTTTTGGATTGAATGTCTGTTCCTGTGGTGAATGTGTTTTTGGATTGAATGTGTGTTCCTGTGTTGAATGTCTTCTTGGATTGAATGTGTGTTCCTGTGGTTCATGTGTGTTCCTGTGGTGAATGTGTTTTAGGATTGAATGTCTGTTCCTGTGGTGAATGTGTCTTTTGATTGAATATCTGTTCCTGTGTTGAATGTGTGTTACTGTGTTGAATGTGTGTTCTTGGATTGAATGTCTGTTCCTGTGGTGAATGTGTTTTTGGGTTGAATGTCTGTTCCTGTGGTGAATGTGTTTTAGGATTGAATGTCTGTTCCTGTGGTGAATGTGTCTTTTGATTGAATATCTGTTCCTGTGTTGAATGTGTGTTCCTGTGTTGAATGTGTGTTCTTGGATTGAATGTCTGTTCCTGTGGTGAATGTGTTTTTGGATTGAATGTCTGTTCCTGTGGTGAATGTCTTCTTGGATTGAATGTGTGTTCCTGTGGTTAATGTGTTTTTGGATTGAATGTGTGTTCCTGTGTTGAATGTCTTCTTGGATTGAATGTGTGTTCCTGTGGTTCATGTGTGTTCCTGTGGTGAATGTGTTTTAGGATTCAATGTCTGTTCCTGTGGTGAATGTGTCTTTTGATTGAATATCTGTTCCTGTGTTGAATGTGTGTTCCTGTGTTGAATGTGTGTTCTTGGATTTAATGTCTGTTCCTGTGGTGAATGTGTTTTTGGGTTGAATGTCTGTTCCTGTGTTGAATGTCAGTTCCTGTGGTGAAAGTGTTGCTGTGTTGATTGCTTGTTGCTGTGTTGAATGCATGTTTTTGGATTGAATGTGTGTTCCTGTGGTGGATGTGTTTTTGGATCGAATGTCTGTTCCTGTGGTGAATGTGTTTTTGGATTGAATGTCTGTTCCTGTGGTGAATGTGTTGCTGTGTTGAATGCGTGTTCTTGGATTGAATGTCTGTTCCTGAGGTGAATGTGTTTTTGGATTGAATGTCTGTTCCTGTGTTGAATGTGTTTTGGATTGAATGTGTGTTCCTGTGTTGAATGGGTTGCTGTGTTGAATGTCTGTTGCTGTGTTGAATGTGTGTTCTTGGATTGAATGTCTGTTCCTGTGTTGAATCTGTGTTCCTATGTTCTGAAATTGACCGTATGTTCCATTCTTGAATGTATGTTTCTGTGTTCTGAAGTTGAATGTGTGTTACTAACATTTCAAATTTAAATACCAAACAAAACATCACTTACTTCTCTTACTGGTCTCATTTATAGGCAGTCTGTATTACATTTTGTTCATAAGCAAGGCATATGTTCAGATACCAAGTTACTGATATAATATGTGTAGAGTGATCCAATGTGAACATCTGAGACCTGTTTCACTTTAAACTTTCCTTCCACATCAAGCCGACATGTGATGATACAACTGGAATACTGTTAAAAGCAGCACTAAGACCTGCTAAACTCACTCACTGTATTGAGGTTTTGGCACATGTATTTTTTGTTTTACAGGAACGTGAGAGTCGCCGTGAAATGAAGAGAAAACAGCCGAAGATGAAGATGATGAAGATGAAGGCAATGTAGACCATGTAGACCATGATGAATTTGACAGTGTGTTTAGGCAGGTGGCCACAGACTCTAGACAACTCAACCAAGTGTGATTATATTATACCAGAAATGGAACAAGTTCCACATTGTCATTGCATGCAGACATGATTGTTAAGCGGTTGCAACCATATCACCATTTCATTTTACCTCTCGACTTTTTTCTAGGCCAAATACACCACCTGCTGGCGGAGCTTATCATGTAATAGCTGACGTAGGCACTGTCCATCATCAGTAGAGGTCTTTTACTTTTGCTTCTTTTACTTCTCATGATCATTTCTCTTCAGTTCTTCTTGGATGAGACCATAATTGTCATTGTACGTAAATGCTCAAGGGCTGCAGCTATGGGGGAATTTGACCATGATATGGTTGTTGACTAAAGCCTTGGGCAGGAGAGGTATTTTATTACGTCCATACATGACCAGCTATCTGTGACTAGTAGTAATACCTTTCTACAAATGTGTTATGGACTTAATAAAGAAACAGAACAGAATCGTGATTGAAAGATGCTGTGAAGGTGATGAAATTTGAAAACAGGCTTTTAGCTTTAGTTTCTTATGTTATTTGCTAAATAGGGCAGAAATACAGATATTTCGTCATATTAATGAGAATACATATGAACCAGAACTATGCCTTTTACAAAGATATGTATCATAGATTTAGATTGATTTAACATGTTTAATACTTAGGGATCAAGTAACATATGGTCCTCATTGGCCTGTTTAACTCATTGCCTTCTGTCTGTAAGGTTCTGTTGAAGCATTTTCAGAGAGTTCTTGACCCAGGTTGTCTGTGTGTGAAGCATTGCCTGTTACTATCAGGTTAAATTGTCTGCTCGTAAAAAGCCTGTTTGAGAATATCTGTCAAAGGCACGGATAGTATATGGTCACAGATGGATTAACACACATCTATGATGAGAACCATGTTTGTGAACAATAGTCACAGAGGGTCATGGATATATCCTTTTATTACCTATAGGGTTAGTCATAACCAAGTTCATAAAACATGTATGTGTACTATTGCAAATATCAATTCATGGTCACCATTGTGTGCGTCATCCAGTCTTCATGGTTGACCTCGTTCAAATCTTATTGTGACGTAAGGTTGGAATGACGTCACACTATAAATGACTTCACAGCTGAAGATTGTTGACGCCGTTCCACAATTGTGGTTTTCTTAGACGGCGGTCATGATCAGTGCATTTTTATTAGGGAGAGCTAAAAAAGATTAAGAAATAATAGGTAATAAAGAAATTATTACACTCGCATGTGTGCCATAATGACTTCACGAAACTTGCTCGGGAAATACAAGAATTCTCACACTCATTTCCTAAAATCAGTATAACGAACATGCTCGTATGAAAATCTCTATTTATTTTTAAATTGTCATACTTTTGTGTTGCATATAATATATAATGTGTGTGATGGCAGCCTGATGAATGGTGTTGTTCACTGCCAGTGTTTATTTTATCCCAGACACAAAAGAAGGAATGGTGAAAATGTACACAGTTTTAACATTTGTATTTCATTTCCATTTTCAAATTCATTTGTTTATAGATGAGAATGCCTGGACATGAAAGTACAGGATGTAATTTTTGGTCTTCCAATAGTGTAGCCATTTCATTAACTTTCTTTGCCATTTGTACACTTTTCTCTGAACTTTGGCCTTTCTATGTCAATAGTCAAGATATTTAATGTAACATACCTGTAATACCAGCTCATCATGTCAGTGAAACATGAGAGTGTAATGGAGTTCTCATACGATCAATTATTGTGCGGTGTGAGTGAGTGTGGTTTAAGGTACAAGATGGGTGTATGTCAGGCTACATGGTTACACACACCAGCTATTTATTGTACAGGGGTTTCATGGATATCAGCACATACTACAGTATAAATCAGGGTTGTAACATTACAAAGCAATAGTTTCACTGGCGATGGAATTTTAATGGGTTTTAGTTGAGTCATAGGTTAAAGGAATTAGATTTGGAATATGCCTTTCGTGTATTCTGATCACATTGAGGATGTGACATTACATGGAACAACTGGTACCTGACTTTCACCCCACTGTATTTGGCAGATACTAAACTAATCAGATCATTTGGACCTCATTTTACCCTGATCCTGTATGTTGTTTGACCATGTATGTTGTTTGTCTTCTTCTGTTTGTGTACAAAGTGAATCCAATAAAATGTCTGTGTTTGTACCATATGCAAAGTTTGGTTTCCTTTGAATGTCAAGAGAAACAGCCTCAGAAGCAAACAGAATTAACATATTGTTTGCATAGTAGGGTTGAATCTTTGTATATATCATCTGAACCCGTGAATATCTGGGGTAGAACAGGTCTTCAACAACCCATGTTTGACGTAAAAGGCGATTATGCTTGTAAGAGACAAATGGTATCGAGTGATCAGGCTCACTGACTTGGTTGATGCATGTCATTGTATCCCAATTGTGTGGATCGATGCTCATGATGTCACTTACTGGATTGTCAGGTCCAGACGTCATATAGCTGGAATGTTGCTTCGTGAGGCATTAAACAACAAATAAATAAATATGTTCGTGAAAAGCTGAGCATATCCTGCACCACTGGAGGCACCAACCACAATCAGATGCAAAGACAAGTTCATTGTTTGCCTGAAAAAAAAAACAGGAAGTCAAAAAAGGAATTGCATTGGACATCATTTATGTCACTGATGTGTCAAAAATGGAAATGTCCTCCACATCTCTACCATAAAACTTGTTGATAGCTTTAGTGAGGCCTTAAATGATGTAACCTTGATCAAACATCTGAGCAATAGCTTCTATGGCGCTCGTGTCACTCGGAATCTTTATGCACAGATGAAAACGGTCTCACAGATCTTCTTTATTTCCAGTTCAAGTGGAAAGATCAGCTGAAGCTACAAAAAAGTAATAGTCTATTTGATGGTTATTGAACGAAATCTGTTCATCAAATAACCTTAAGCTCAAGTAAAACTTCATGGCCAAATTACCTTCTTTTCATTTTGCCATTCCGAGCAGAAAGTTTGATACATATGCGTTAAGAAACAAATCAGCAAGAAGTGGAGTGCAGTTGGTGCCCATGTGGATGCCTACTTCCTGCCTAAATGTCTAACCAGCAAATTCTACATAGATGTTATCAGTAAGGAAGTCCAGCATTTCACATATTGTTTTCTCAGTAAATTTCAGATGGCATTTGCCTTCATTTTGGACAACCTGAGCTGAAGATAGATATATAACTATATCTAAGGTCACCACGGTTTGTAACAAATGCCAAATGGATCAAGGAATAAAGTTCTTCCTGAAGTTTGTCATGTGGGAAAGTGGTGTACAAAGTTAAAAAATCAAATGTTTTGACAGAACTGAACTTAATTATTTTCCGAGACTTTAAAATGTCACGTAAATCGTTGGAACTTCCGAGAATCAACATGGTATTAATCCCTGTTGTCTCAAATACTTTCTATGAATATATAGAAAGTCCCTCCTTGATTGTATTAAGGATTATGGATAATTCCACTTGTCTCAAATACTTTCTATGAATATATAGAAAGTCCTTCCTTGATTGTATTAAGGATTATGGATAATCTTTGCGAGGGGGGGTTAGTGGTACATTTGCTGTACCAAGCAATATATCTCTCTTTGTTCGGATTTTTATGATGCTTTGCAATCCAGTACAAGAGAGGAAAGGACATGTCTTCAGGTTTGGGAGTTGAGAGTACTGATGCTTGGTTTGGGCAGAATTCTTCCTCAGTTAACATACTGGCCTTATGTGTGGCGTTATTTGATATGCCACTTATACCAAGTTCCTTAATAAAACAGTTAATGTAGTGATGTTGACATACAATGGTTATTTGAGGCCTTGTAAGTGGGAACAACTACAAACATTTCATGTAGGACAGACAGACTTTGTTCCTATTTTCAGTTTTTGAATTCTACCATTGACAACATCATGCACTGACTTTAAACACTCCGAAAGACGTTCAACATATTCTTCTCCTTTGGCCGATTTATTGGCATATGTTTTGGCAGCATCCATAATTATCTTAAAAGTTATGATCCCAATTGATAGGAGGCTGTTCACGACGGTTTGGTCCATATTTGAATAACTGACGAAGGTTGTTATTGTCAATAATAGAGAAGCTACCTGTGATTATATCAGCTTAACGTTGGTAGCAGTATGGTGACTCTTGGCAGTCACAAGCAGTAGGAATTTACATCAAAATAAAATTTACACTTTCCTATAATTGAACAATCTGTATGAAAATGTGTTCGTATAGGAAAATGATAGTGTTAGTGGTTCCTGAAATTTGAAATAGTGATGCACTTTGGGGAAAAGAATTTTTCTTAAATTTAAGGCATCAATTTACTTGTCTGCAAATTTCAAATTTAAGAACATGCGTCTTTGTCTGATATACTGGAGTCTGTTTCTGGTTTGGCCAAACCTTTCAAAGCAGTATCAAGAGCTAAACTCTCTAGGCGATATTGTGGGCTCTTACTGACCCACCCATCGGCACAAGTTCTGGAGTGGTTTAGTTTCTTGCAATGACACAGAGTAGTCTTGTTTTTACTTTGTGCAGACCCAATGGTTCCTGAAGGAGAGGCAACAAATCTTTCAAATGGATAGTTTCATTACTATCATTCTATCATAGTATCATTGCTCAACCGGCAACTCCTGCCACCCGCCAACTTTGCATAACAGGGTAATTGTTTGTTTGTTGACTGACGCCACCTTGCGGTAATCCTGTCATGCGACGGCAGTGTGTAAACAAACCAGGCAATAAATTGATGGACATGCATACAATCAGAGACACCATAGCGTGTCGATTTACTTTTTTTTGGAAACTAAAAAACGATACATGTGTATGTTTAATACTTAATTACGTCTGCTGTGTGCAGACATATGTCTGGAACATTTCTATATCGACACACTATTGTTTTTGCCATAAGTAAATATATGTGTCGGCTGTACTTGTCAGCTTCCGGTTCGTCGAGACAAATTATTCATTTGTTGTTACTTTTGAATACTCTTGTCTTGTCGGGGGGCACGGGGGGCCCAGTCGTCTAAGGCGCCGCGATTCGCTGTGCAGAGTTGCGTCCCTTGGGCACGCCAGAAACCTATGATTGTGGGTTCGAATCCCGGTTCGCCCCGATTATGTTTCTAGGTTTGTCAGCACCATACCCGTGCTCGTGGGTTTCACCGAAGTGGTAAACGTCTGAGACCTGCATCACTTCGGGCTTTCCTCCCACATTAAGCTGACACGCCGCGATATAACTGGAATAGTGTTAAAAGCGGCGTTAAACCCAACTCACTCACTCTTGTCTTGTCGTACTGAAGCGTCCGCATTTTGTGGTGTAAGTTACAAGCATTAATTTTGTGTTTGTTATTTAACGCCGCAATCATCAATATGGCAGTCTGTATACGGCAGTCTGTAAATAATCGAATCTGGACCAGACATTCCAGTGATTGATATGAACATCGATCCACACAAATAGGACACGATGGCATGCATCAACGATATAAGCGAGTCTGACCACTAGATTTCGTTATTTTTATATACCCGAACCCAAAGAGTTATACGAAACTTTACGTGTTTTGTGGTTTAAGATAGGAACATTATTTGTGCACAAAGAGATACACTACTCTAATTCAGCGTGGAACATACTTTATACAGATGATGTATCTCGCAGCATGTCATATTTCTTTCCCAAGAAAGGAGACAGATGTTATACCAATCCAAGAGAAAAAACAAATGAAGAAATCTTTTAGAGTGAGTGAGTTTGGTTTTACGCCGCTTTTAGCAATATTCCAGCAATATCACGGCGGGGGACACCAGAAATGGGCTTCACACATTGTACCCATGTCGGGAATCGAACCCGGTTCTTCGGCGTGACGAGCGAACGCTTTAACCACTAGGCTACCCGACCGCCCCAAATCTTTTAGAGATGACAGTAACAATATCCGGTGTTTGTGGTAGTCTGTTTTGTACAAACAGCCAAAGTTGACACGAGTTTTTTCCAAGAGGCAAGACATGCAGCCTGTGCACTTGTGCATACGTCATGGAGCGAAATAACACTGGAACATAATTGGGTTATTATTTTCAGATGCGTCCCCCTGTGAGGATATCGTAAGTCCCCGTCATTCAAAGAATATTTATATCTACTACGTTTTTAACCGTAGAATTTTTGTCATTTTAATTGTGGCTAATCTTCCATTACATTCGCCAGCGACTGACAGGATGGTGTAAATCCTGCTAGGGTCCATGCAGGTAGCAAAGGTACTGTAAGTCCCCATGGACTCCAGTGTGGTGATCTACCTTCTGTGGCTGGCGATCTATAGCTCATTTTTATCTTGTATTGTTACGTATGAAGTTCTATTTAAATGATTATCAGCTATTTTAAAAAAAGAATTTGTGATAAATCTAGTTATTTTACTGTCCTTCGAAGACAGGTTTTTATGGTCTGAATATATGTATTTTGAATATAGTACTTTTTCTCGTCACGATATGGCTGAAATAATGCCGATGTGACGGTAAATTTTAACTCACTCACACTATTTTCAGATGCATCCAGACTAAAACAACTGGAAACATAAACATGCCTCCTTATGTTACTTGAATATATTTAATCAGCCATATATACAAATGGATAGAAAAATACATATTTAAACTTCAAACCAAATTCATTCAAAGGGACAGCGCTCGTGTTTTTGTTTTTTATTTACGAAAACATCTTGGAAAGTTAACAAGAGTTAATAAAGTGTAAACAAAGCGTGTCAGATAGCAAAACAAACATAACGGAAAATGCACCCTACTGGAAACAGAAAAGGAGGATTCACCAATAACTTAGGTATTTAGATTCAATGGATTGATGGTATTCCGTATGATATACCGGAAGGTTGACCTTAAACACTTTCCAGACCTCGAGATAAGCTGTGTAACTAAACTAACTAAATTACCATACCTAATTAATTTTGATTTGATTTGGAACCGCCATTTCATATCCTAGCGACAAAAAGACTTATCACAGAACATGCTTGAAAGAAATAATTATACTTCACGCTCTTGAAAAACATAGTTGCAAGCTGTTTTCTAAAATATGATATAAAGGCATATATTTTTAATTAAACGTACGTCTCGTTTTGCAACCTTAGCTGAAACAAATATCTATTCGCCATACAAAATGTCAGGACCTCTCCAGAATATAAAACGGTA